CCTCTCCCTGTATCTCTCATGAATAAATAAATAGAATCTTAAAACAAACAAACAAACAAACAAACAAACAAAGACCAAGAGGAGAATCTGAGATGCTGCAGCACCAACTCCTCAATCCAAGATACAAAAAGTGGCAACAAGTTGTAACCAAAGTTTTTGCTAACAGATGTCAAATGCAATCTTTAGAGTTTCTCCTGTCTTGTCAGAAACCCAAGAAAACCCTTTGTTTGTCTCTCTCCTGAATATTCTGTTCCACTTGGATGCTTGCCTGCTTCCAATAGATGATCCCTCACCTGCAGGCACCAGTTCTGCAACTGCCAGCAAATGCCAGCCGGTCCCAGCCACGTGCAAATCGCTGGGCATGGCTGCCGGGGAACCAGAGGGCATGTCTTTCTTGGACCCACTTGGCCCCTTTTTCTGTCTGCACCAGGGAAGGGAACACTTACTCAGCAGCCAGTAGCTGGGGGAGATGCCTGCAAAAGTGCAGAATCTACCTGGTGGAGGTGCTAAGGATGGACAAAATCATCGCGTGCCAGTAGCGGTGCCCCCCCACCTAGTGAGAACACTGTGTGTATCAGCTATGAGTTCCCTTATTCGTAGTAGAACATCAATATAGGCACTATTATCTCCCCGAATCTCCAGGCCCCGGGTCCTGAGGCACAAGGTCCTCTGGGAAGCTTCCCCAGACACCCAAGCTTGCATTTGCTGCCGCACATTCGGATTTGGTCCGGGGCGGGGAGGCGCTGACCTTGTTCAAACCTCCCACATGACTGAGTTATTTAGCCGAGGTTGGGAGCCACTGCCCTGATCACTGGGGTGGAAACGAGCATCCCCTAATTTCCAGAGGTGAATGCAGAGGCCCTGGGGGTGGTCTGTTAATCATGTGCTCAAAGTCACGCAACTGGGTATGGGAGCTGGGATTATAACCTGATTTTCTTAGCCTAAAGTGAGTACCCTTCAGACCATCACTCTAGACATCGGTCGAGTCTGGGGATCATCCAGGAGGATTTTACAAGGACCGATGCCTGGACCCCATCCAATACCCGATATCCTTATTTTCCAAGCCCCCTGAAGGCATGTAACATGAATTTTGGGGATTTGGGGACAATTTCACTAACCTGGAAGTCTGAATGTAGACAGGTGCCTTGGGGTGCATGGGAGCAGAACAACAGCCCACACCAGCCCACTGCCCAGATCAGAATCTATGGGGTGGGGCCGAGGACCTGGATTTAAAACTGACGTCATAAAACTTTCCTGGGAACATTTTTTTACAAACGGAATTTTGGGAACTAGTGTCCTACAGTATGCGCCAAGTGTTTACATTTAGGTAGATTTCTTTTTCTCTCCCCTTTCTCTTCCCCATCCCCGTCTCCCCATCTCTCACATTTCTCTTCCCCATTACCTCTTTTTTCCACTCTTATTCTAATAAGATGAAAAATAATTTCTGAATTATGTTTTCTGATACCACTTCAGCCTGCAAGTATTTTCTTGGTCAATAGTAGTATATAGAAAATAATTTTCACATACATGGGCACACATACACTTCTTCTGTAGTTGGTCTGTGTGTTAAAAAATGAATCTACCTTCTTAGGATAAACTTATTTTAGGCTTTTGCAGAAAATTGTACATGATTCTCTCATCCATGAGCCAAGGTATCGAAGACGTACAGCCTTGTCCTTCATTTTCCAGCACACAGAATCGGGCCTCTGTTGGAACCATTTCTAATTTATAGGAACATGGCTCTAGCTGTCCTTCTCTTGGCAATGAGAGGATGACAGGCTGGTAGGCTTTTGTTGACCTTTTCTGAACCCACTGGTATAGAGAGCACAGAAATGGGGACAGAGGAGGGAAAGCTGATAAAGGGAGTCACTGAAGTCAACAAAGGAATTACTGGTAAGGATAGAGCAGACAGTCAGGGAAAAGGAGCTGGAGGGGGTCAGCGGCAGCTACAGAAAGATCTAGAAGAAATGGAACTGCAAAGAGTGGGAAAGCCACATGCAGTCTTTTTGGAGTTTCATCAAGTGCTTTTGTGTCCACCCCTTGAACAATCCCATAAGGGAAGCCAAGCCAGCCTGCCCAAAGAGGACTCTGAGGTTCCAAGTGGTCAGGGCCTTGCCTGTAGTTATATCTCAGGGGGAGGTGGCAGGAAGCCAGACCCCATCATCTGACAGCTGTTCCGGCTTTGCCCGCAGGGACCTGCATCCCCCTGCAGATGAGTCCTGAAGGCCATGGAGGAGGCTGTGAGCTCAGAGCAGGCCAGGCCCAGGCCCGCACCCTCAGCACACACTCCCTGGTCTGCACCGGCATTGTCCTGGGAGGGACCTCCCAACGCAAAGCATGAGTCAGATGCATTTGTGAGTTTTTTTGTTTCCTTCTCTCATCTAACAAGGGTCAAAGCTGCCTTTCCAGACAGATGTTGGGCTTAATGTTTCCTTCCCGGGTGGTTGGCTGACCCCAGGAGACCAGAGCCTGTGGGTGCTATCACGTGACAGCAGATAGGTCTGCATGGTGGCAGAGTGACAGCCACAGCTCCCCACCATGTTGGCGCACCTCGAGGCCTCGCCGAGCCCAATGACACAGTAGGACCTTGGTGTCCTGTACTTATCACTCATCGGCAATAGCTGCCTTGTCTTTAAAAGGAGAGGTGTTTAAACTTTACTGGCTCTTATCTCTACCCTCCTGCTTAGAAATGCAAGACAGCACCTTCTACCTCCAGCTGATTTGAATGGCAAGCCCTCCGCCCTCCATGCTGGCTGTTTTCCTCCAAGTAGAAATGCAGGAAGGTTTTTTTGTAATTGATCTTAAAGGCGTAACCACCTGCCTTGAGACCTCAGAGTAGGTGGCAGGCTGGTTGATGGGAGGACCATCATTTTAACCAAATGTAGCAGAAGGTGAAGATGCCAAGCAGGAAGCCAGCACCAGGGGATGGAACAGAGGCAAAATAACAAAATAGGAGAAAAGAGCAAAAGAACACAACACAGCTTAGATACATGTACCACAGTGTAACACAGTGGCAGGTCTGGGTGTGTCAGACATTCAGCAGCCCATGGACTGGGGGATTTGAAGCATTCGGGTTCCTTGTCGCTGGGTCATTTTGCAACCCTGCCCTTTCCCTGGGCTAGGGATGGTGCATCACTGGGGAAAAACCCTCACAAGATTATCGTGTTTTTCTCCACTTATCTTGCATGCATGCTTTATGAGCCAAAAAGTCGTGTCATCCGAGCAACGGGAAGAGTAGAAACAGGGGCACAAAGATCCTGCTGTGTGTGCAAAGTCTTGAAAATCTGTTTTCCTGGACAAACAAGTGGGTTGAAAGAACAAAGTCTGAAAGTGAATCATAAACTCTTGTTTTGTTAGAGCAGAACCTGTTTTTTAAAACATCTACATTGGTTTTGGGGGCACAGATGGGCAATGGGGACCAGAAATAAACTAGAAATGTCTAAGGGGGAGCAGAACAGCTGTAAAGTCTGTCCTTTTTTTTTCTTTTAATAAGTGCAAGGCAAAGATAACATGCATTTTTCCACACACTGAAAACATTATATAGCCTGTTTAAATCTTCAAGTAAACAGCTTTTGTTAACTCTCACATAAGTGAATTTAATAAATGAAAAAAAAGCATCCTTAATATAAAAGCTTAATATAAAAGCCTTTGTCAGAGGCCCAAAACGAATTTTGAATGTGGCTTTACAGGAATTAATGTAAGCAATCTGGTGATGACTTTGCTTCTTTTAAAATAAATCCTAAGGCACTATGAATTATTGAAAATTATGTAGTTGAAAGAAATCCTCTGAATTGTATTACTTTCTTTACTGGAAGATGGTAATGCTCTTTTGAATGGGAAAGCAAACTATATTAAATTTAAAAATCCAAATACTTTACTTTGAGACAATACATTCAAATTCTTTCTTTCTTTTCAGGGCGTTAACATATGTATGTATTGGGAAAGCTTTGGGCATCTGCATAAAATGTATATGACTACTTAGAATGTAGACATACTTGTTTAGACTTCTTTAAAGTCTACTTTTCTTTAAAGTCTACTTACTTTTAAGTCTACTACTTAAATTTTATCTTTAATATTATGATCTGGGGAGTAAGCTTAAAGACTGCAGTTTCTATCTATACACACACCGTGCCTGGGAGATACTTGTCCGTTTGTAAGAGCTGCTGACTTTGAAAACGTCTGAGAGGACCTGTTGAAGTAAAAATAAAATATCAGCTTAAGCATTAGGCAAATTATTCTGCAAGCAAAACCAGGAAGATTTTCCTGAGTTTTAAAATGAGCAGATTAATAAAAGTTTCCCACTTTTGGATAATACATAAGAAAGACACCATAGCACTTCAATTGTTTTGGAAATCCCTGAGTCAAGCTCTATATTCCTTTCCTCTTGCGGAGAAACGGACTGGTTTCTGACCAGGACTGAATGAAGAGAAGTATATAAAAGAATGAAATCTCTCTTTTGACTGCCTGTAATTTTTTTTTCTTTTCTTTTTTACTGATTTACAAAATAGTTGATTGATGTTGCTTCTCATGCTCATGCATGGCTGTAATTAAATGTCAAGGTCATGGAAATGCAATCTTAGTCCTATACATGCTGAGTTTTCAAAGTTACTTTTACTAGTTTCTCATTTTGTCTTGCTCTACCCGCGTAGGCACAGGGAGGGAAATGATTGCTTTCGCTTCATACTGTTGAGGAGCTAGAATGTTCTAGAGACAGAGCAGGGGCCAGGGGCCCAGCAAGCATTTGTGGAATGCTCGTGCCCTACCCCGGCCCTGGCTGGCTTGCAGGCACACGGTCCTTTCGAACGCACCGTTTAGGCGTGGCACGGATGTGATTTTGTTTACAGGGCAATGGTCCTCCTGGTTACACTCTGCCAGGAATCCAGGCTTATTTCCCAGAAATAATGCTCTTCCAAAGGGTAGATAAATATTCCCTCCCATTATATGGAGAGTTAATAAGATAACCTGAGAACTACAGGCACACACCCAAGGCAGCATTGAGTGTGCATAGCTGAAGCACGTACCTGTCATGAGGAAGAGTGAGGGCATGCATGACACCACAAAGGTGAGTGGCCAGAGCCGTGTAGACCTGGGCACCAGCCACCAGCAGGCTGCCTCAGAGCTGCAGGAGCGGAGGGGGCAGGGGGGATGCACCCGGCAGGATGGACAAGGATTGAAGAGATTGAGGACTGTACAGGATCCATAAGGAGTGGCAGCTAGGGGAGAAAGCCCTCTCACCTGCATTTTCCAGTTGACATGTGGAGGTGGATGGCGGAGGGGAGAGAGAGGGTCGTTAATAGAACAGGGTCTGTTTCCTTAGAATAGAGCCCGCAGAAAGCGCCAGATGCGCAGCGTGCACCTCACTGCAGGTGCAAGCGGAGAGCAGGCCCAGCTCAAAGGGCATGGCTAACTCTGCCCTGGGACTGTGGGGGAATCTCTGCTGAGGGCAACAGATTGAGTCCTGTCATAGCAGCTGAGAAGTCATTCTCTAGATGTGAATTTAAAAGTTAAGTGTATTCGTGGCACAACTCAATGGAAAGGCAATGCATGCCGGAGGCATAACGAGAATTTTAGGGGGGCCCAGAGTGAAGGTGTTATGTGAGAAAGGAGAGGGGAGGGGGATGAGAGACTTGGAAGAGGAGCCTCATGGGGGAGCTTGGGGAAGAGCATCCAGGACCAAATGAATGAGTTGTATGTGCGTGTGCGTGTGCGTGTGCGTGTGTGTATACGTGTGCACACACATGTATGTGATCATATCCACGCTCTCCTGATCACCTGAGAATGAGCATCTCAACACAGGGGAGCAGACCAAGGGAAAGATAATGATTTCAATTTGGGACATCTTCCATGTGCAGTGCTGTGGGGTCTCCATGCAGAGTTGGCCAGGAGGTAGACAGAATTATGAGAGGAAGGGAACCTTTATCAAAATAAACGCAGAGCTATCTAGGTTGGCATGGGCAGGAGAGCCTCCATGTGGGGAGGGCAGCCAGAGCCCGGCACTTAGTCACTGTCCCTTCAGGGAGAAGCACAAACAGCACTCTCCATCCTTAACACAGCGTGCCCACACCGACATTTTGCATTTCCCATGTCACTCTGTAGGGCAGCTCAAAAGAATATACACTGTTGAAATAGATGGTAACCCAAGGTGAATGAAAGACTTGCCAGAGAATATTCCTGGAAGGTTTCCATTAAAAGTAATCAATTTCACAACCTGCTATAATGTCTATAGATCATCAGTTCTAAGAACACATTGATCACTGTGATGTTCTACATTGTAACATCCCTGAAATTCCTATGCATCTGCTGGGCACTGATGGCCAGGCTGCCATCACCCTAATCACATTTAACTTAGCTATTAGTCCTATGGCATGATCGGGCAGTGAAAACCCTCAATATTTTAGTCAACCAAAACCTTAAAAGAGAAGAAAGCTCATTTGATAATGATAAAGGAATCGATCCACCAAGAGAATACAACAATCCTAATAGTTTATGTACCAAAGAGAACTTATGAATACACAAAACAAGAGCTGATCGTTCTGCAAGAAAAAACAGAAAAGTCCATAGCCTGAGATTTCAATATCTCTCTCTCAATAATCAACAAAAGGAGAAAATTGGCAAGAATGTAGAAGATTTGAACAATACTGCCAACCAACTTGACCTAACTAGCAATTATGGACCAAGCAGAGTACAAGGTGTTTTCAAACACATGTAGAATATCTGCCAAGATAGACTGTATTTTTGGCCATAAAATAAAAGAAATAAAAGCACATTTACACCTAGGGAATGTACATGACTCTTTTTTTTTAAGATTTTATTTATTTATTTATTTATTTATTTATTTATTTATTCATTCATTCATTCATTCATTCATTCATTCATGAGAGACACAGAGAGTGGCAGAGACACCGGCAGAGGGAGAAGCAGGCTCCCTGCAAGGAGCCCGATGAGGGACTCGATCCCAGGACCCTGGGACCACGCCCTGAGCCAAAGCAGATGCTCAACTGCTGAGGCACCCAGTCATCCCTATACATGACTCTCTATAGCAAGTGACTTTGTAATTGCCAAAATGTAGAAATAACCCAAAACCCCATCAAAGATGAAGGGTCTATTCAAAACAATGGTCTATTCACACAATGGGCCATCACTTAGCAATAAGTAAATGAACAGGTGATGTACACTACAAATAGATGAATCTTAATGTAACTAAGCTACAAGGAAGAAGTCAGGTAGAAAGTGGAACCTGTACAATTCCACCTAAATAAAGTGCTAGGAAATGGACCCACAGAGATAGAAATCAGATCGGCAACTCCCTGGAGAGAAGATGAAGGTGGAGGTGGAGGGGAAGGATGTCAGGGAGGAATCACAAAGGGACATGAGGAGGCACCTCAAGATGGATGAGTTCGTTTTCTCAATAGTGGTGATGGCTTCACAGATAAACATGCATGTGACAAGTGGAACTGTATACTTGTAAGATATGCAGTTTATTGCATGTCCATTATAAAATACTGAAAACCTCAATGAATAGAAATCCAAAATTTGAAATGAGATGAAAGCCTTGTCTCATGTTCTTCCCGTCCTAGTGGGACATGAAACAACAGTGCAACCTATGATGAGGAACACACAAGACTCCAGACTCTGTATGTTACAGGTAAACATACGTCCCTCATAGATCGTTTCTGTCCGGTGCCTTAGAAGACAAGGGGCTTTGCAACTTATTTGTCCATGAAAGGGATTTTTTTGAGTCACAGGTCGAAACTGTGGGCTAGAGCCATAACCCAGGATCTACAAAGGAAAGAGCATCTAGACCATCCAGATTACAGAATAGAGCTTTCAATGTAAGGCACACAGGTATGACTGCAACTTCTGCTTGTTCATCTTCCCTGAGAACTGCTGGTTCATCCTCCTTGAGAACAGGCAACCCTCCAGATGCAGTCTCATGCTCTCGACTTGTCTAATATTCACCCAAGACTTTCACTGCAGCAGCATAGCATTTGGTTCTGACAGGTTCCAGAACTAGCAGAATTCTGCGTCTGGGAGTCTACATTGGGAGCCATGAGCCTAGAGGCAGCTGAAACCTAATATGGGTGAGGTGGGAAGAGGTTGCCAGAGGGCAGCTCAGAACTCTCCTGAGGATAAAAACACGAGATTCCTGCAGAAGGACCTGCCAGGCCCCTTCTGACAAGAGGAATGGGAGGGGTAGGTGGATGGAAACAGGACAAGCATGGCAGTGGCCTCATCTTCTGGGCCACCCTGGTGTGCCTCGGGGCCCATGCCCAAGGCTTGTTCCTGGTTACCAAGGATGACTAGTTCCTTGTCTGATGTGTCATATTAATAATTGATAATAAGGTGACACTGAATGATTTTGTCATTGATCACACTAACACTTTGACTTTTCAGGAATGTGTATCTTTCTCCAAAAAGGAGTTAAGGCATCTTGCAAACAAAACAGAAGAAAACAAGCAAACAAACACCATATGAAAAATTCAGCACCTAGGAAACCAAGTAAGCTAAGCAGTGAAGTGCATAATTTGTTTTGTTGTTGTTTAGATTTTATTTATTTATACATGAGAGACACACAGAGAGAGGCAGAGACGCAGGCAGAGGGAGAAGCAGGGAGCCCGATGTGGAACTCGATCCCAGGACCCCAGGATCACGACCTGAGCCAAAGGCAGACACTCAACCACCGAGTCACCCAGGTGCCCCTTGAAGTGCATAAATTAAACCCAGATTTTGAGCGCTGCTCAACCTACCCGGAGAGAGGTGGGAGCACCCAGCAATTCTGAGAAGGGAGGACCACTCTCCTCATGCCCTGCTCTTGGTCTGCAAGATTCAGACACAACATTGGACAGCCTTACCACATCCGCTTTCACCACAAATGCATAAATATGTTTCATTTACATAGAGCTTGACATAATATTGAGGTACAATTCAATAAAAATCAGACCTAATGTGAAGTATAATTTCACTAAAATGTTTATTGTATCTAGTCATTCATTGGGCCCAGAGACAGAAGTTGGCATACCTGCATTAAAGCATCCCTTAGATTATCTTCCTCAATATTATTTCATGGAAAGCAGGCTTTGGCAGGCAGCTGGGCCGCAGGAGATAACAATGACAATGGTTAGTGTGGAAGCAGATGGCCTTAATTGATGGTTGGGGACCGACGCCTAAACCCTGGTGGCCAGATAAGCAGGGATAGAGTTAATTCTTCCCTTAAAAAATTAGGAAACCTGATGGGAAGGCTACCCCACTTGGCACAGAGGCGGGCTGTAGGGGCAGCTGAAGGCAAAGCCATTGTCCTTCTCAGAAAGCAGTGTGGGCTCTGCCCCAGAGTGTGAACCTCTGTGCAGTTGGGAGCTCAGGGTCCCCTGCCACAGAGCAGCGATTCTGTCCCTGTCAGTCCCTGGGCCACTTCCTTCACTGGGACCGGAGTCCTGTGAGGAGGGCAGACTCCTGGACCCCACGCCAAACCTGCCGGATCTGGACTCGGGGGTATGTGGTTTAACATGCTCTCCGGTAGTCACAGATGCTCTGAAATTTGATAACTATGCCCCTAAAGCTCAGAGCTTGAAGAAAGTCTCCGAGCTGGTGCTCAGAGATGGCTCAGGCCGGGGAGGGGGCAGACCCTCTCCATTCATCCCTGATTCCCATTCATCCACTTTCCTCCTTTGTTTCATTGCTTTTTTCTCTGTGCATTTATTGAGCAACTGCTGTATTTTAACTCTGCATAAAGTGCTTGGGCTCAGAGATGGATGGAAGATCTAACAGCACACAAGGCCCCAGGAAATAACTCGGTCTGTGGGGTTTGGGGACGTTTATCAGTGAATGGGGGAGAACCCCTAGCAGCTAGCATTGCTTTGATGTGGTGAATGGTCAGCCCATCCTTCTGAAAATAAAAAATAGGACATTTGTCTTTTCTAACCATCCCTGGTCCACGATAATAAAACTCTGGGCTGGTTCTGTTTCAAATTCTGGCTTAAAGACTTTAATGTAAGGCTGTATCTCCCGCCCCTCTGCCAAAAATAATCAAAATCCAGGTGCCCGAGCCCAGCCTATGTTATAGCA